TTGATATCAATTTTTAGATGCACAAATTGAACTGCTGCCAAAAACCAAACAATTTTTATCTCATTATATTCTAAATACAATATTTCCTCTCCATTTTCTCAGTTATACTACGAAGCATTTGGAGCCAAATTTACATCAGTTATCCCTTTTCCACATTAGCAAAATGACAAATCTCCCCTTTATAGCAGTCCCATATCATTCTGCTTGACTTTCTCCTGGGTCTGAATTCAGTTATTGATTGCCTGTTCAGTTTCACTTGGAAAAGGTTGATAAAGGGAGGTTTTCACTTTCTCAATTCAATGTGACAGCTCCCTAACAAGAATAATGGAAAGTGGCCATTCACAGGCAAATCAAGCTAATCCAGCGTGCCCCTCTGCTCTCAATGGAGAAGTCACAGTCCTTCCCGGCCCATTCCATCACAAGCCCCTCTCTCTTCAGAAACCTCACGAGTTAGCCCAAACCCCTCCAAAAGACAACATCGCTCTTTGTTGTGGCCTCTTTTCACTCGCCACCGGACGGATAAATAGGTCAATAAATGTATACAAAGTCAGTTGGAAAACAAAAACGAAGCATATAATTGGTTTGTTTTAAGTTGGTCAGATTTCACCAATTCCTCAGGAGGAGTCAGATGTATATTCACAGAGAAGACGTTTTGAAAAACAGTTTCCAAAGTCATACAAGTCAGAATAAAAAAGAAAGTGTCTGGAGTACTCCTTAAAGGAATTACCTTTTCTCGCACAAAATAAGGAGCAAAAGTGGCTATAAAAGTATCAAAGATTTATAAAACATATAACTTTGGCTGTATCCATGTTTTGTCCTAATTAGGTAAAGTAATTGTTAGAACATCTCCAAAATGTGCAAGAATTTATTCAATCTTTTTTAGTATTTCTGTATCCCATTCAATATCCCCCAGCTATGTATTCAAAGAACACTTCAAAGTGCAGAGTCACAAAGCAAAAAATGGTCGGCCTTAAAAAAAAAAGGTTTAAAAAAATGATATTTACATAATTAAAAAGGTTCATTGTTTTTAGGGCAAGAGATTACAGGTCTCATTCAAGTTTGACTGAGGAATGACTTTGTAAGACTTTAGTTGGACCATTTAAGTGCCACAGGTTCATTTCTTTTGCTTTTAAACGCCTGAAAAGAGAGATTAACATGATTTTGCTTTATCCACCACATACAAGCCACAAAACCATAAAACACAACCCAAAGGCATCCCCGTCCGGAGCTGAATGTGCACTTGTTACCGCTCTCAATTCGGCTTTCAGCCCCTTCTAAAGAGACAAGGCCCAATCAGAATATTGTCAAGGCTCTGTTGGTTTTCTGGTTCAAATCCTTGTTCACGCTGTTTGCTGAGTACTCATCTGCTGTGACAGCCTTCAGACAAACAGTAAGTCCTGAAAGAGGTCTCCCACAACCAGATCTTTCCTGCTGGGCAGCGGCTGAAACGCTCCTTTCTCTCTCCATCAAGTGGAACCCAAGCTATTGAGCTGGCCCCTGGGATTCTTCCATTGAGGTGGGCTATGGGCCAGTGCTTCCCCCCCTCCTTACCATGGGCCACCCTCACTCTCCCAGGACACCTGTACCCCTAAACCTCATCGTGGGAACCTCCTTACTGCTTGCGCCACCTGAGCTGCTCTTCATGCCAGCTGGGCACATCTCATAGGCATCTGTGGGAGTCAAAGGCACTAAATAAAACTTTATCTTTTTGAACTTTTTACCCTACAACCATCATTTCAAAAAAAAATTTAAGGAATTCCACCAAAGTTATAAATTTAGTGTATATCAGTTCGTGATCTTTAGTAACCATTTCAAACCGGCATATTTATCAAATACAATTAAGAAAAATGAACATTTTGAGCCTGCACACTGAATCTCCATGGCACACTGCAAAAAATGGCATCAATTAATCAACATTCATGAACCGTTTACTTGAGCTCTCTTTTGTGAGATGCAGGGCCTAATCCAGACAGAGACCAGGCTGTTATGCAGCAGTGCAGACTGCGTCACTCCACCCTTTGTGGGAGAAACCCATCAACTGGTGTTTCAGGGAAATGTCTCCCCCATTGAGAGGCTAACCTTCCCCCTCTCTCACCCTCTTCCTCTTGTGCCCCCTCGGCACTTAGGGCAGGAAGCTCCATCTCTTAGAGGAGGCCATCCATCTATCTTGCCTCTTCCAATCCAATTCACTGCTGCTCGACATGTATGAAGACATCTGTCCATATTTGATCAGATATTCCATTTTGCTGCAAATGATCTCAGCCTCCATCCCCACCCATGAAGGAGGCAGCTATTTAAATGTGCTGATACTTTCCTGCATAATAACCTGCCAATTCTTTGCCTTGCAGAAGAAGCAAGTTTAATTGGACCGTGCATTTAGAGCTCTTCTACAATTACACAATTACAGCGGAGATGCATTTCTGCATGTTGCGATGTTTGCCCCAATTTACTGCACTTTTCATACAGTTTAACTCTGGTTGTCTTTTCAGGGGATGCAAATTTGGCTCATTTGGCTTCAAATGAACCATAATTGCTCACATTGAAATCCACACCTTTCTGTGAGATGTTCCTTCCAGTTAGTTCTCATTAAACCAAAGAAGAACAAAAATTCACAATTTCATTTCAGCACACACGCCATCTGTATCTTCTTGTGATAAAAGCTAGGAAATCTGAGACTAAACGCACGCAGAGTGTTGGGAGGAAAAATATACAAATAACTCTTGCCTAAGTTTGTCAAGTTAAGGCTAACCTTCTCCAAAATTATGCCTGTTTTGCAAGTTTCTCACAATTAAACCCGGTGACAAATAGTAGCCACTATGCAAAAGTATCCGTATCTTTGCAACTTTTCAAGTTTTATTTTTTCAAACCTACAGACTTCAACTTATCTAGTTACATTCTGAACACTTACAAAGAAATATGTTTGTAGAGTTTTTTACATATAAAAATCTATTAAGCAGGGCATAAAATGTGTTTTAACCCATCTAAGGGAAAGCATATTTTAAAGTAGTTCAGAGCATATCTGTAGCAACTTTGCACATTTAAAGACTGACATTTCTGCCCATTCTTCTTTTGTTTTGGAAAAATAGCTCAAACTTTCAAAGACAGACAAAATAGCGATTTTTAAATTTTGCCAAAGATTTTCGAATTTGGATTTCTACAAAGACTTTAATCATGGTGTCCGAACACATAAAAATACTTTCATCTCATCATTAATTTGTAGCTCTGGCTGTATATTTAGGGTTGCTGGAAGAGAACCTTTTGTTGCAGCCTCTACCCGCCTCTAACAGAAAATTATCCTCTAGCTTTCAAGATTGCCTACCATTGCTGAAGAACAGCATCCCCACAGCATGATACTGCCATCAATGTGTTGAACCACGGGGGAGAGGTTTTAGGCTTAGGTATTGTACTAAGCAAGTCACTTTTGCACCACTGGTTTATCACATTTTGATTTAAAAAAATGCATTTGGCTATAAACCTATATGTCTGATTCATCTGACCAGAGCATTTTCTTCCACATTATTTTTCCCTATATGGCCTTCAGAAAACTGTAAACAATAACCCTTATGACTTTTGACACCTTGCTTCTTGCCACTTTTTTATTAAGGCCACATTTCTGAAGTGTCAACCGATCTTTTTACGACAATTGACAAATTCTCCCAATTAACTGTAGATCTCTGCAGCTCCTCCACAGCTGCCTTGCTCCTTCTCTACTGTGACTGATACTCTCCTTGCCCAACCCGTTAGTTTTCCTGTTCCTTCATTTTATAATTTTGCCCTTCTTTGTGTTGATCTGTTAAACAATAAAATACCTTAATAAGGTTTGGAAGTGTACTATGTAATAATATGATGTCCTTGTTGAAAAGACTTTCATCCAAATGCACCCTATTGAGGTTGAAAAGCCGGTGCAAACAACCTTTCTACATTCGTATAAGAGAACAAACATGCGCTCAACATCAAACAGTTTTCCTCTCTGTCCTCTTCTTTTATATCACTGTCCTAAATGTTAAAGAAAATTCTACTCTAAAAGGCCCTCTGCTTCTTAAGTAGTGGCCTGTGCCCACTCCAAACAATACCTTACAAGACACTGTTTAAATTCATATCCGCTCTTCCTTTCTTACTGCGGGACAACACAACAAACTGCTGACCCACTGATACACAATTAGAAGTGATGCGGCAGTTAAGGCTACAAGCAACTTTGTTTAACAGTCTGTCTTTGACCCTCCACAACTGAATAAATATAATGCCCCCAATGAGAATAGGACACTGAGGTGGTGTGAAAAGGGAGCCGGGGAAGATTTTAAGCCACACATAAGTAGTTAAAGACCTTTATAGAGTATAACACCATTATCCTTGCTGAATAAAAATGGGATTTAGTGTTTTTTCCACTTAATTTAAATCAAAAGAGTCCCAACCTTACATATTGCGGTGGTAGTGTAATGGAGAGAGACCCAAAAAAAGGCTTTGTGGCTCTGACACCTCCTATAGTGGGACCGTGTTGTCCTGTGAGCAAAAGGGAAAGAAAGGTTTTTCTTCTCTGCTTTGCTATCTGCTAACACATTCTAATTGATGCTACTGCATTCCTCCACTGGATGCATTCAGTGAATAACGAGCCTAGGACTGAATACCCATGAATTGGTCCCCACCAAGTAAAGCAGTAAAGCCTTTGCCCCCCATCCCTTAGCCTCCCTTCACTTCCACCATCACAACCACAGCCGACTACCACCTCCCCTCTGAACGTTCCCCAAAGCCCTGCTCCAGCTTTACCGCCCATTAAAGCACAACCATTGTGCAGGGATGCAGCCCACAAAAGCTGTCAATCTCTCCCGGGTGCTCCAAAGCTTGGACTCACACAGACCAGAGTGACAGAACCCCCCACCCCCATTTTCACCCCCTTTTCCCCCTAAAATCCTCTCCCTGAAAACTTCTCAGCTAACTATCCCCCCTCTCTCCCACTCGGGCTCTCTAAATCCTCGGTGCACAAAGCATCAATCTGTCTTCAGCCCCAGCACCCTTGGCCCTTTGTCCCATCTGCAGGTGCCTCTGAAAGCACCCACGGTCGCCCTGGCCTCAGCGCACGCCACGCCTAGTCCAGGGACAGGAACTGCTGACAAAGACCCAGTGTGGGAATGAGGGATGTGTGGAGGGAGAGAAGAGGGGGGAGCGCTTTAAGACAGATGGCTGGGGAAGTCTCCCGACTCCTCTGCAGGGGTTGTCAGTTTGAATTCAGATCTACGAATGACACAACCAGGAGTAGAACCACTAGAGGAATGCCCACTAAACTCGGCAGCTACTGTACATGACACGCAGAACCCCTAGCCAAAAAGAAAACTCAACCTGCTGCTTTCTCCAAAATGCAAATAGGACAGACTGAAAAAATGAGTTGGGCTTTCTCTCTATAAATCAAAGTTTCAATAATCCTTCAATAAGAAAACTTTTTTTTTTGTATTGTATGCTTCTGCAAAGGTGGGTGATAAAAATCAAAGTTAGATTATAAATAACACGAAAACTCTCCGACAAAACATGAATAGACCAGCAGTTTTAATAAAGGCAAGGCAAGGCAAGGCAGGTTTATTAATATACCACAATTCAGTACCGAGACAATTTAAAATGCTTTACGTGAATAGACGAAGGAATATAAAAACAGCAAAACCAATTAAAGATAAAAGCATGCAGGTTGTAAAGCAAATAAACCCATTTTTAAAAGAAATGTAAACTAATGATACCCCTTTTAACCATTTAACTTTAACATCAAGGGCATAAAGGAAACTAGACAGAATAGATAAACTATTATATACATATTGCATATGTATAAATGCAACAGCCACTCTGATGAAATTTCTTATTGCAATATTAGTAGCTTCTTGAAACCTGAGGTTCTGAGTTCGAGTCCCACTCCCACAGACTGTTACTCTGGGTCTCTGAGCAAGACCCTTAACCCCACATTGCTCCCCAGGTGCCGCACAATGGCAGCCCACTGCTACCCATGGGGATGGGTTAAATTTAGATGTAAATTTCTCCAATGTGAGATCAATAAAGTTTAATTATTAATATCCATTTTACTGGCCTTTGGGGGTTAACAGCTTGGTAAGGTCAGTCAGTAATGAAAAAAGAAACATTTTAAATATAAAAGTGTCTCAATATTAGATATTATATAACATTTTGATATGTTTTCCAGAGGCTGATTCTGATTGTTATATTTTAAGTAAATATGTTCCAGTGTCATGTTTTTGGTGAAGCATCATTTTGTTTCTCTGCAAACCCTAGTCAGACTAGATAACAAGAGTCATCAGAAATGTTTGAGACAGGGTTTGCGGTTCGGGGTGATGATGCAACGTACAAGTAAAGCATAAAAAAGAAGCAGCCTCTTCACACAGGGTGAAACTTTCAGTGTGAAAGAAGAGGAGAGGAAGATCTCAAACTACGTAGTTGTGATGAGCTGGTTAAAAAGTCGTTACAGTTTTGCGCCAGTATTTATCATAAACAGTATAATACTCTCATCGAGTGACATTAAATCAGGTTTAATCTTTCCTGTTTTAGGTCAACTCAACTTTATTTATAAAGCCTTTTAAAACCACCAGAGTTGCCACAAAGTGCTGAACATACCAAGTAAATTTAAAATAGTTTAAAAACAACATAGAAGTTTAAAGGAATAAAACAATAATATTATAATAAAAAACAATAATTAAAACAAATAAAACCATATAAATAAAAAACAAAATAAATAGTATCAACTTTATAACCAAATTGTTGCTATTTATCACATCCAAGTATGATTAATTATATATATTTATATATGAATATGTTAAATGTTTAAAAAAATATTAATTAATAAATAAATAACAAAATTGTAATTAAGTAAATTTTTATTCAAAGTTATACTTTAACTTTATTTATCTCTAAAGGTATCTTTTAACATGTCAGAAGTGCCCATTCCTCCAGGTAGAAGGTTTATACTTTTGGAATACTCATACTTTTCTGAACATACCACACATTTATGTGAAACTGGGATTAAGGCTTTTCGATGATGACTCCGAAACATTTATTTCATTGTCTTTATGCAACTCTAACTGTATGCATTCAGAAAATCCCTTTGTGACCAAGCTTTTACTTCTTTGCTGATGTTTTGAAGTGGGCCCTTGATAGTTTAGATCTAAATAACAAAGCAGCATATCTTTTATTTCTTTTATTATCTTTTTGTTCAGGATATTGGTTTAAATTACATGCATTTATTCCTGAATTCATCAATTTCTTTATTAATCTTCTCTTTTTATTAAGACATTTATTTTATAAAACCCATCAGTCCATTCTCCTGAGATTTAGAAATGCAAAATTATGCCACCATGAGTGAATATTAACAGCCACCAGAAAGCATCCATCACAGAGTAACACTTGACAGTCAGGATGATGTTCTCAGACTTGCAAGTGTCCCACCTAGTTCACATCAGATTCACGGATGAATCAGTGCACATCTCTGTGAAAATTAAAGGTCTTTATCCTGAGTAGATTTTAAAACTATTGTGTGGTTTCAGTGTTATTTTTGGGAGCAGTCAGCTTCTCTTACTGATTAATCTCTTGGTTGTAGAGCAAGATCAATGTGATGATTGGAAAATTAATGCTTTTCATCCTTGCATATTTGCACTATAAGAGGAACATTTTAGGTACTTTTAAGGACATAGAAATTGTAATAAAAACTTTTTTGCCACATATTTCAATTCCCAATCTTCAGATAAATCCTAGCTGCTCATTTTATTCGTTTATCATTGACATATTTTCTTTAGAAATAACATCCGAATTGTTTGAAGAAAAAAAAAAACACGAAGTTGAGTGTAAACCTCCTAAGAATTAAAATATTTAACATTCATAACTTGTTAATTTTTTGATTATTCATCTTATGCTGGAAGACAAGATTATTTTCACAGCACATTTAGGTAAGACAAGTCAATGTGCCCTCGTGGAAAATATAGTGAAAGGGAGTATAAAGAAAAAGAATATTACTGTGGCTAATAAAAGCAGATTAAGATAAGTTGGACTACGGACTAAAACTAATTCTTAGGAATAGCCAGACCCAACTCTAACCAATTAGGTTTGTCATTTTTATTCAAAGAACTTTCTTATTCAGCAATTTTGCAGTCTTCTGGGAGTTTGTTCTAAAGTTAAACATAAGAACAAAACACTGTATCTCCATGTCTGGTTCTGGATATGCAGAATTGATTTGTGCCAGAAGACCTAAGAGGTCTCAGCACCTCATACACAAATATCAAGTCTGTAAGGTATATTAGAACTAAGCCACTAAGTCACTTTAAAACTAATATAAGACACTGCAGCTGTCTGATTTACCCATTAGACAAACCTGTAAAGACATTTATTCAGATACAGATATATTTTTTTATTAATCCAGATTGATATTTAACTACCAAACACAACCATGTGAAGGGTGTAGTTAGCGTTCAACTTTTAGTCTATTTCTCAGTGCAACAAGTGTGTACCGTCTCATAAATGTTACAGGGGTGCCACCATGTGGATACATATTCAAACTGAGTTACAACAGTTGTTCACACCAAACATTGACTGGGAAATACAAAATGGTATATTAAAGCACAACTAAAATATTTTTTGAGATAATTTTTTATTTACCGCCTATGTAAAGGAAAATATTGTTTCCTACCCTTTCATTAAAAAGCCTTTAATAAAAGAATAGATCATTTTTTATATTTCCTTTTTTTTTTTTTTTTTATTCTGGTAGATTTTTAAACTACATTCAACTTTTGAGAAAGCCACATTGCATGCTTTGGCAACCTTTATAGTTTAATGTTATAACAAACACATGTTTACAATATACTGGATCTAGTTACAGCATCACTGTTTAGTTACATCAAACACAATATAAAACAAAACTAGTTCTATGTGAATATAATTCTTCTGAAAATATGTGTGTAAATGGCCTAAATGGGTTTTCTAGATGATTAGGGTTAAAAGAATGCAATGTAAATTTTAAATAATGTTTATCCTAATAACATACAACCCCAAGCAGAAAATAAAAATAACCATGATATTACCTATGATATTTAACATGTTGACCTTTATATTTTAAAATGCATCTTTTTTTTTTTTTTTTTTGCTAGCAGGCTATTTTAGATCATTTGCCTCATGCAATAAAAACAAATACGGCCATAAACAAATACAATGTTGAGATTTTTACTAGAGACATGTAGTAAACAATCCATATTTTTTGTTTTAACCCAACGTGATTCTTTAATTAAAAATTGCATTTTCACATAAATCAGAAAAATGCCCTGGTTCCCTTTTGAGTGAACAGATTGACAGCCTTTAGAAGCATTAAAAGTATCAGATCAAAGGGCCTTTAAATCAACAGTTGCATGTAATGCTTAATCTGGCCACAAGATGGTAGTATAGTTCAACTTTGGAGTGTGCATGTTTTAGCGGAAGTGGTGTCATATAACAGTTCCATGTTATGCAATCAGTAAATGCTTGTTCAGTAAATGCTTGTGATTTTTCTTTCCTGCAAGGCATATTTTGTCCTAGACATAGGGTATTTTTCAAAATATTTAAATAGTGTATTTTTGAGCATGCAATGTACCAAAGAGACAGAAACTAAGGAGGAAGGAAGACTTGAACTAGACTTGATTCAAATGGAATTCAGTTTAGAATAGAACAGAATAGAATAGAATTATTATTGTCAGAATTGAACTTCCTCAGAATGTGGATCAGACTTGCTTTTCCAATGGTTTTTACCTGTGGGGTTTGATGCTGGCTGCATGTTGGAGTCGCTCAGCTTAATTTTGATGTTCTTTTTACGATAACTTTATTTTCTGTGGATCGTAGTTGTTGTTTTTTGTCTATTTAAAAAAAAAAAATTTACCTCTGGTGTCAGATGCTGTGCAACTGGAAGGATCTTTAACATAATGTTTCTTTTTCAGGCATTTGTTATGATTCTTACCCATAGCCATTCTTACCCATTTTTTTTATATCTAGAAGCAGCTTACTATTTACCAGCTGAGGGAAAAGTAGTTGTTGAGGATCCAGAGCAGGAACAAAAAGAAGAGATATGAGCAGGAATTTCAAGCTGTATCTTCCATCAATCATTGAGGGCATTTTGACATTTTTAGGAA